CAGAAATCCACAAAGAAAGATGAACTAAAACTGGTGCAATAGATATGGTATAGTTTATAATAGTCTCTCTAAATCATTTTAGCTTGGCTTGAGAGAGTAAGAACTGTTAATGATGCTCTAGCATCAAGTAATGACTGTACTAGTATGCTGGGGTTGACTCAGCATTAGAAAAGAATAGAAGCTTTTGCTAGAGAAAATAGGCCAGATGCCCAGTATACAATCCCTCTTATATAGCTGAATTGTCATCTCTTAAACGATAAATGTAAGCCACAAGAATTATTAAAGGGCCTCCAGTACAGATTTATCATTTAGTGTATGACTATAAATATAAAATAAGTTTCAAGGTACTGGAAACTGACCACAAGTAAAGCAGCCTTGAATAATTTCTGTAAAGCTGAGGAAAGGAGATTCACTACAGAACTCCCTCTTCAGGGAGGCACTTGGGGGCTTTCATTGCTCCAATTGTGTTTATTTGCAACATGCTCAATAATGCATGATTAATATGTGATGCAACACATCTTTAAGCCACTTTAAGAGTTTAGAGGCAAAGGGGAGACATGATTTCATAAGACTCAGAATCAAGTGGATTTAACTTCGTTTGGAGATTTGTTAAAAGCCTAGAAATCATGTTAAAGGGGGCTGAGATAAATCTGGGCTCAATTTTGGTTAGGTGGGAAACATATACATATCACACTCACCTGTTATAAGACCCATTTCCTTGCACAGTATGTAAAGGCAAGGTGAGATGTTCCTTGCTTCCATGGCAGAGCTACCTACAATGTAGGTTACAGCTTTGTAGACACAAATCACTGAGTTTCACCCATCTCTAATAAGATGCCAATCACTTGTGGAAAGCAGCATAGGACTGATGAAATCAAGTTATAGATGGAGCAGCAAAAGGTATGTGCTGTAACAAGAGTGAAAGGGAGGACCAGCAGGGTAAACCCTATATTAAAACAAGCACTTCATTAGATTATTAGAACAGAGACAAGAGTTAAAAATCTAACCTGCTTTTGGCTTTGATACAATTTGCTTGCTTGTTGCAGAAGTCTTGGCTTGAACAACAGAAATGAACTAATGAGGACACATTTGTTTGTAATCAATTTGGGTTCTCACATGCTAGCCCAAGGCTAGGATTGATTGGGTTGCAGAGTTCAGGGAGAAGTTTGTTCAGAATAATTAAACCGATTTCCAGTAAAGTTTTTGATTCTTCCTCCCCTTTCATGAAAATATTTCTATAGATGTTTTTAGAACTTCTAAAAGCTATTTACAGGGAACCAGGCCTGAACTGGAAGCATCCTCTTGTTATCATTCATGTCATTTCTGATAATTTTTGGTAACAACTAGCTTTAACTCTCTTGGGTAGCGATGTACCTACCTATGCACCCTTTTTGGTACAAAGCTGCTTTATGACAGGACATCTGGGTTCTACATTATCTGAGCTGATGCCCTCAACCACCTTATAATGAGATCAGGTGGGTGTTTGACAGAGGGGAGTTTTGGAATGGGATTTAGACAAACACATCTTTGCAAGCATACCATATTTTCCCTTGTGAATCACAAAGCATCAAGATTCAAAATCATTCAGATTTCCTTAAGAGGAATTAACTGTCATTTACCACAAAATATATAAACAAGGGAAAGAAAGCAGCAGATTTACCAGCATATTTCCCAGCTCTAAACTGATCTCTGGCCTCACCCAGATTGTAATTAGACTCAATTAGAGAGCAGGTGCAAGGTGCCAACTTCACCAGTGTTTTAAACTGTTCTTAGCTGCTTCTAGTCAGTAAGAAAACAGCAGATGCATGGAAATTCAGCTCGTATTTACACCCTGTGTATCTGGAGCAAGTCTACTAAATCTGGTCTTTTGGGCATCAGTGTAACTTATGTGCAGATGTTCCTGGACTGATTAATTCTTCAGGTGCTGGATTGCTGCTTGCACAAAACACTCATAACAGTCAAATCAGTGCTGGGCAAATAATTCACAGAGAACAGTTTATCCAGCAGAATGATAAGCTTTACTTTCTTTTCCTGCCTGTGAATTGACCTTTAGTAGTTGATGATTTTTCTCAAGTTTGTTATTCAGATTACTCGATTTATAATTTCTACAAATAATTCTTTGCCTGTAGATTTATGTCTGAATACACAACCACAAATTGAGCTGCACAGGTTAGTTTAATGAGATATGTAGGTCCTGCTGGAACCCTGTGATCTGTGTGATTTATAAGCCTGACCCATAAAAGATGTTAATCTGTGACAACAATACAGCCTATATCTTTTATTTAGGCTGTGGCGATTAATGCGATTAGCTTGGGAGCTCACTGGTTCTATCTTGGTGTGCTGGACTAGGTAGTGGCTGCCAAAATACATAAAATGGATAATAATACTGTGTGTGCTGCCTGGTCAAAACACCACACTATTCATTAACTGATCCTCACAACACATTTGTGAGATGGGTATAGTTTACTATCAATCATATTTTACAAATGGGAAAACTGAAGCAAGAAAATAAAGACGGTTGCTCCAAACTGGCCTACCCCTACAATCAGGGAAAGTGGTGGGATTAGCACTCAGCCCATAGTGATGCTTCCTGTTCCTCCAAATGACATCTACCTCTTTACCATTTCTGTTTTCTGATGAGATGATATCAGCCTTTGAATCTGAGCACAGTGCCTTCATTTCTTAGTTAGGCATTCATTTTCCATTAAATTTTGCCCACAGCTTCATAAAATGTGATATTTCAACTAGTGCTCCTAGCAGCAAACCACATTGCTGAGGTCCGGTGAACACAAAAGAGCTGGAAATCAGAGAATCAATTTACAGTTTAGGGTGTGCCTATGTGACTTTCCCCTCCCCAACTAAAATCTATACTTTATCACTTGAACATGGATATATTTTGTAGTTGTATTTTTTGTATAACTTTTTCAGCCATTGTAGCTTATTTTAAAGGCTGTACACTACCATGAGTTTACTACTTTGAATCCAGTTTTCCAGGTGACTTTCACTGAGTCGCAAGAACAAGTGACTTCCTTGAAGGTCACCGAGTGAATCAAGAAGCCCAGTCAGGATTAGAACCTCATTTTCTACCTTATCTTCTCTTCCTCTATCAGTGTAAGAAACTACCAAATAGCATTAGGGCTGAGGACACAGAGTTATAAATACTACAGCCTATCTAGACACCCTATCGATGGGTCTGCAGTTCACAGCTCATTGCAGGCAGAATAATAATAGTCATAGTAAATTTTAAGAGGAATAATAAACATAAAAGAAGGAATCCAAAATACAGAATATTTTAATAAGCTAATTAAGCCTGTGTGGACAACCTGGATTTCACAAAATGCAAGGGCCCTCTGAGCAGATTGTTTTCAAAGCACTGTGTGCTTGTATGACTGCTGGAATAGACCTTGGTAGGAGTTGTGTTGGCACCCCCCATGCAATTCTGAAAATGTTGCTGATTCTAGTGCTAATTTCAATCCCCAAACAATGAGACAGGCTTCGGAAGTCCTTTGCATAGTTGATGTGGGAGACAGAACCATCAAGATGCCCTATAGCTGCTCTTCCTCAGAACTGCCCTATAGTTCGTAGCTGTTGGGGGATGGAGGTTAGGTTAGGAGGTTAGGGTGATGGAACCATTTTATGAGAATTACATGGGTCGTCCACTGTACTAATCTGTAGTTTAACTGCATCTCCAGTCTGCTTTGCACAGATGTCAGACAGACATCACATATTGCTCAGCTCCATAGTATGCAAGGGACACATTTCCTGAGCTTTAAGCAATCTGCAACCTATTCCTAAACATTTCAGTGCAATTTTGCAGCAATCGGAGCCTTCTACAACCCTGACTTGGACTCGATGACTGGGCCTCTAAAACAAAATCACCCCCATCATTTCAGACAAGCAAAGGAAATCTAAACCAGGAACTTCTTTCTCCATCTATCAGGACTTCTGCACACAAGTGTACACCACCCATATCTATGTGTGCATGTGTGCACGCACACGCATGCAAACAGCTGTTTTTTGCTACCAGCAAGATGGAAGTTTTCACCCTTGGATGGAAAATGATGCATCAAACTTTCTTCACACTGTTCTAGGCTGGAGCAAACTTGTCAAGATGGAGAACTTCAGATTTAGAAAAATCAAGCTGTTCATTTAATGACTAAAAAAGGCTGCAGTGCAAAAGCTGTATCAACTGTATACAGGTAGCGCTCTGTTTCCTTACACTGCAGGAAGCAGGAACAAAATAGTGTCAAAGCTTCTCAGTGCAAATGTGGCAAAGGTGTGATCAAGTGAAAATCATTACATTTTTATGGTCATCCAACAGTGTTTTATAAGGAAGTATTACATCTTGTCTGTTACTTGCAGCAGGTAAAGCAGCTGTGATGCTTATCTATTTGCCAGCTTAACCAATACAGTAACCAGCAATGTTCATAACCTCTCTCTGAACTGGGGCTGTGTTTGCTTTCCCTTTATTCTATCTGTAATTGTGTTATTTCCCGTTGGAAAGTTGTGAAATGGAAATTATGCAATCCACTGCTGTGAAATGACAGCTTACTGGAGCCCTTTCATAAAGCAAGCCCTTGAGGTTCATGCCAGGGTGGCTTCATTAGATTAGTAATCTCTTGGGCAAATGGAAAAGCATTTATGCCCTAGGATCTTTTGTAAATAAAAATAGTTATTCTGGCACTGCCCCTGGTACCAGGGTAACTTATATGTGCAACTCCCTCCTATGCTGATGAGAAAAGCTTGTGCAGAGAAATCCTATATTCAGGGAGGTACACAGGGAGAACTGGATGGCTCAGTGCATAAGGAGGCTGTTCATCTTGAGGTCACAGGTCTGCAATCAGATCAAGGGCATGGAGCATGAGATTTCTGAAAAACCCAAAGTGAGTGGGGAGCACCAATTCCACTGGTTTTCAAGTCATTAAGGGTCTTAAAAATTCCCCTCAGAGTTTTTATTATCTTTGCAGCACCCAATGTGAAATGTATTGATAATTCTCATCCTCTTGTCCTGTCCCACTCCTTGTATCCCCTTGTGCTTTGCCAGAACCTAGATTGGAGACAAGGTCAGAAAGGACCTTGGGGTTTCCTGTTCAACATTTCTCATTCTGGGGTTTCCATGTTTGCTCTCCCAGCTAACTGCTTCATCCACCCCTACAACCTATCTTATATCTTGGTATGCAATCTCTAAGCAATGCCTGCACCCTGAAACTTAAAGGCATCGGCTCTACAACATGTTTGCTGTCTAGGCCTTGGGAGAAAAACCCCGAGGTATCCCATGAGTCATTAGTTCCTGCTCAGTGATGAAGCTAATGGGAATTTCAAACCGTTCTTTCAACATTCAACATCGAGGGATAAAGAAGTACTTCAAGAAGCAACAAACTCTGTTTTGCCTGAGAAAAGCCATGGGGAGATACTACTTTTGCTGGTACTGAACAGGGGGTAGCCTGTTCCCTCAGTCACCTGTGTCTGACACTAGTACCAGCTTCTTTACTAAGGAATTTGGAAAACACAAATGCAATAGTTACCTTGAAATACCAAAATATTACTTTTATACTTCAGAGTGAAAAACTGAGCTATTCCAGGTTTGAAACAGTGAGAAACATGTTGAGGTTGATTTTGTGTCCCATGCCACTCAGAAAGGAGAAATAACAGTATTACCACTCTCCTTATAGCATCTGAAAGGCTTGTGTATATATGGTTAGCCATCTTATATGTTTGGCCCTGGCAACTGCCTGGGCTTTGAGTGATGCCATAGCCCTTCACATGTGGATAGCACAGTGTGATGCAAAGTCCCCCAGTCAAGTTAATTCTGGGCCCAATCCCCACATGATACCATGGCCTCTTTCTTTACAGCATATAGTACAGGACATGTACATGGATTATATACAAGGTATAATGTGCAATATAGCTTCTCTCTAGCCATCTGTCTTCAGAAGACTAGCTCAACAGCATCAGTTTAAAAAAGTGCAAGGATTTAGTAGTGTTTTCAGTTTGTCCCCAGAGTGACCTTTTTCGTTTGCCTTCACATCTCCTTTCCTTGCCCACCTGCTCCGCCACCTCCACAACCAACTAGATGCTTGTCTCTCCATGTTCAGCCTCCAAGGCTTCTCCACCACTTTTTCTTCTTTACAGTGAAAACAATAAATACTGTAAACTCTTGATTTCAGCAGGCCCCTCCCCAGAAGGTTTCTCCCCTGGTTTCAATATTACTGAAAGACATTTAGGGATTATTTCTTTTGCTGTTCTTACTTAGTGAATGTATGACCTCAACAGGCCACTGACTGCAGCAGGCCTCACAGCTGGCCTCCTTCCTTCAACCTGGAGTCCTGTGTCCTTATTTTCTTATTCTCCTCCTACTCTGCAATGAACAAGGGCCACAATGGTTTTGCAGCTGACCTCCCAAGAGCTTCTCTGGTGTGCTTTGGCTGTTTCCACTGAAGCCATGTTGGCTGGTGTTGCTACTGGATCCTTTCATGAGATCAGGACATCACCATGTCCCAGCGCTGACTCATAGCCATGCTCTCACAGGGATTGATGACAAGCTCTTGGGTGCCCTCATTTGTGTCGCCCACCATTTCAGTATCCAAGCAGAAACGTGTGGCCATATGCTCAATGTGAGAACTCACTTTACTCCAATGCTGTACAAGGAGACAGAAGAAAAGGAATATAAGATAGGGCTGCTGGGATAGTGGTAGTATTATCCATTATCCTCATTAGCATAATAGCACTTTAGATACACTGCTGACTCAAACCATGCTGGAGCATGTTCTGTGGTGGAAGCCTTTTAAAGAAACTCATAATCAGCTCTCTTTAGCTTTATCCTCAGAGATCCTGCATACCCACATCTCCTATTAAGAGCCACCAGTGCTCAGCATCTCTTGTTCAGGGACACATACATTAGGATATGTTAATACAGGGTTTTTCCTCATAGATCACTGTCACCCAACTCATTAAATGTTGCAAAATATTACAATGTAAGGGACAATTGGTAGTTGGTTTTGGTTTGAAACAAACTGTTTGTTCCAATTTGGTCTCTAGTAGATAAGTGTCCACATCACAATGGCATTAATAAACACGTTCATCAGCAAGGGCTGAATGGACCATGCGGACCACAGTAACCCTAGAGACTGTGATTCTAGGACAGAATCAGAACACCTTAATAGGACAATGAAAAGGGAGGTTACACGGCCATTGCTGATGCTGTATCTGTCCTAAAGATAAATGAGGAATGTCAACCTCCATGGCTCACATGGAGAAAAGGGGACTCACCTGTTTGCCATCACCTTCCTTGCAAGGAGATAGTACCACCTGGGAGCCTGGGAAAAGGGTGTGCACAGATAAGCACAGCTGCTGCTGACGGACCTGATGGTTGTATGTGTATATCCATTCCTGCAAGGGGGGAAAGAAGAAACCAGGACAAAAATCCCAATCAGGTGAAAAATTAATAATTTGGTCCAAATCTAGCTCCCTTTGAAATCAACAGCAATAGTCTCAAGTTGCAGCAAGTGGAGTTTAGGTTAGACACGAGGAAAAACTCTCTCAAGAGGAGGATAGTAAAGCACTGGAACAGGTTACCCAGAGAATTTGTGGAATCTCCATCCTTGAAGATTTTTAAGACCCAGGTAGACAGAGCTTTAGCTGGGATGATCTAGTTGGCGATGGTGCTCTGAGCTGCTTTTAGCAGGGGGTGGACTAGATGACCTCCTGAGGTCCCTTTCAAACCTAATTTTCTATGATTCTAAGAGCAGAAAATCCCAATGTGAGTAGGTACAAGGATGGGCTCTTGGGGGATCTGGGGGTACATCAGTACCAAGGAATGTATGATAGAATGGAGACACACATGCCTAAACCAGAAGGAGAATCTCTGTCCCTATACAAGCTGCTGGGAAAAGTACTATAAAAGATCCTACAAGGGAAGTGGTTGAGGGGGAGAGGTGATAATGATAAAGATGCTCCATTCACCCCATCAGGGAATGGGAGACAGAAATGGTGCTGGTGAGGGATGATGTAATGAATGGAATACTTTGTGCCAATCAGAGCTCTGATTCTGCCCTAGATGCTTGATACTGCTGCACAGTATATTAAACATGGTAACTCTGTCACTGTGCTGTGACAGCTACTCTTCCAACTGTCTGATCAATATTGCCTCATTGTACCCTCTTGTTCCATCCACCCCCCATCTGCTTGTGCTGACCTGTTGTCTTCCACCTTAGAGTTACATTTAAAAACTTTCTGTGCTGTCTCCTTGTTCTGTGTTTGTACAGAGTCTAGTATAATGGGTCTATGACTAGTTTTTCTGGACACTACTGGAATACAAATAAAAGGGCATGAAATTTAATTGTCTGGACGCTAATTCTGCTGCCCATCCCACATAAAAGTAACTCTCATGGACTTCCAGTAACAGAGTATCTAATTCTAGTTCTGACCAAGCCACCAGGCCTTGCTTCAGACCTACGTGCCAGTTGTGTCCCCTCATCAACACAGACTGCATCATCACTGGACCGAGCAACCCCCGAATCTGATGAAGCAGGTTGTTGCCTAGGAAAGCTCATGCTTCTCTGCACCAGTTAATCTCTAAAGGTGCCACCTTGCCCTACCTTCTGCCTGACTTCAGGCTAACATGGCTAATCACCTCTGGACTTCAGTGGGAATGACCATCATC